CCTCGTCATGTACTGACAACATGATGGCTCGCAGGTTATTCATCGTCTACTCGCTCCGCACCCCCAAGATACCCTTTCTCCAATCCCGACCTTCCCGGGCCGTTCTCGCGACCACGCTCACTATGGCTGCGATCGCCATGGCAATGCCGTTCATTCCCCCGATCAGAAATGCACTCGAGATGGCCACGCCGCACGGTCTTTTCTATCCAATCCTCGTCGGGATTCTCATTGCTTATCAGGTCAGTCGGTTGGTTGGTCGGTCGATGTGGGCGATCCAGGGTATGCCTGCTTATTATTATCTGTTGCACGTGTCTCTTCAGCTTTTCGTACACGTAATGAAACTGGGTTACCTCGAGCTCTACAAAGGGGATTGGATCTAGTCGTCTTGCCTTGGGAAGCAGGGCATCAGACGACCGTACTCGTTCCGCGATTCATCTTAGAAAGTCGGTCGTGAGCTACCGCGCATGTCGACGTGTGACCGACCTTTAATATTCGCTTGAACTTTTGTATCGAGTAGTCAACGTCGTCCCTTGTTTACTCTATCCATCCTGTAGACGTCGCAACACGCAGTCGGCGTCCATAGAACAACAGTGCTTCCTACCAGCCGCCTTACTCGTCCCACTCACTCTCTCGCCACAACAGATGAGCGGCTTGCTCGCCACGCCGTGCCAATCGGTACGCCCTGTCGTTTACTTTCCCTTGCGAGATGATGAGGACTCGACGACTCGAGATGGAAGAGGCGAAACAAATCCGTTGCATCTCGCCACGCGCGTTGTTGAGCACGGGCGCCAAAGGAGAAACGTCAGCATTGGTTGATCATTCGGTCTTGCGCCGAACTGGCGGGGGGGGGGACGGACATCGTGAAACACTGTATATACATCCAGAGCAGAAAGCCAGCCAACCGGAAAAAGGCAAGGCAGTGTGCACCATACTTCTGCGAGGTGAGCAGCGCCGACCGGGGACATGTGTTTGTTCAGCGCGTTGCCTCGTCTGTTGTACCTACTCGAAACGTCGTGCAACTGACTCGTCTGGAGGTTGTTCAAGCATTCCGGTCGGTCCGTCTCAACGAACGGCGGACGGGCGGATGGGCGGACGAAGCGGCTGCGATTGCACAACAGTGTATCTACACATCCGCTTGTCCATGTCCAGTGCTTCACCTTGCCTGCCAGCCTACGGACGGACGGACGGACGGGTTCACCGGCGCTTGTGCGAATGAAATGATGCGCGCCGGTGATGGTGGTGAATAGTGTTGATTCCATGCTGTCGTTCACTCTACATACGATCGTACACAAGCACGACCGGGGCTTGTGCCCTTGCGGGGCCTCTTACAATCGCCGGACCCATACCCGAGTTCCACCTTTTCCTCCCCTCCGCCCTTGCACGGGCGGCACCGCTTTCACACCACTCCCATCCACGCCGCCTCTACTCCCTCTGACCGACCTCATACCGCTTCCCCCTAATCCCCCACACGCCCCAGTTCACGCGCACCAACACACGCGGGTCAAAGTCCCCCGCTTCCCATTTCAAGCTGGCGAATGGGTTCGGCCCGGGCTCGAGGAGCGTGTCGTATTCCAGCGGCGGGAGCGGCAAGGGGGCGTCCGCGTCGGCGTCGGCGGTTGTTGTTGTTGCCGGGGCGACGGCGGACGGCGTCTGCAACGACCTGACATCCCGCTCCACATCCCTCGGCGAAAACCCGGTCAAGAACAACGCACACTTGCTCTGCAACACGTTTTCCAACGTTTCCCTCCACTCGACGTCTGCCTGGGTCCGGGTCCCGCCCTGCGCTCCCCCACTCGCACTCACACCGGCACTCGGACTCGGAAACCCAAGTCCGGGACAAAACGCAAAAAACACATCCGTATACGGATCAAACGGTCCAAACTGCGCACACACATCCTCCCACCGCGCTCTCAGCGTAGTCAACTTGATCGTCTCGGACGTGTGAAGGGTGTACGAGGGCACCCCGTATTCCGTCGTCTCCAGCGTGTGCAGTTGCCCGAGGGCGGTCGTTTCCGAGTTTGCACGCGGCGTCGGGGGCAAGTAGATCCCGTGGCGGGTGTTTTCCTCGTCTGCAGGCGCGGGGGCGGCCAACGAATCCGCATCGTCCGCGGGTTGGACCCTGCGCGCGGGCAACGCGGCCTGCGGGCCGACAAAGAACAGCTCGAACCGTGTAAAGGGAAAGAGGTGGCCCAGTTGATCCCATACGTGTGGCGGGAGGGATGATTCCGCGCGTGCGCCGAGGATGAAGAGGCGGATGGGGATTTGGGCGTTTCGTGTGGATGCGGAGGGGGTGGCGCCCATGGGTGGGTGGAGGGATGTGTGGAGTGCTGCGGCGCGGGCGGTTGGTTAGTTGGTTTGTAGGAAAGCGGCGCAAGACGGAAACTCACCAGCCATACTCCTCTCGCCCTCACGCGTCAACCGCTTGCCCTCCTTGCCCGTGCCCGTCCTGCCCGCGGCAAACGGTCCCAACCGATGCAACACACCCGCCATCGTCACGGGATACGTCAAAAGCTTACTAACATGCCTCTGCTCCCGCTCCCCATCGACGCTCTTGAAATTCCGGGTATACCAGAACGAGTCCCAGGACGCGAGGGACGGCGTGGATTCATAGTCTTGCGCACCCGGGAGCTCGAATTCCGCCTTTACGCGCGGAGAGTGGAGATCATGTTCATCCTCGTTGACCTCGCGCAACCTCGCGCAGTACTCTTTATGTGCGGGCTGATCAGCGAGCCAGTGCGCCTCGCTCGAATGCGTCGGGAAGCCACAGTCCGGGCACGTGAATGCGACTTTGGGGACGTGGCTGCGCGGTTTGCCTTGCTGTGCGGCGGTGTCGAGGCATACGGGGCAGGGGGCGAGTGATTTGATGAGGGCGGCTTTGGCGCGGAGGGCGGGAACGGGGGATGATTCGAGCGGGTGGAAGAGGGAGGCGGCGGCGGCGGAGGAGGGATCGGTGGTGGGCGATTTGCGGAACAGACCGGAGAATAATGTGCGTTGTGGACGGGCCCAGGCGTATGCTGCCCTCGATAAGATTGGTCGGGAGAGGTGTTGCATGGTGGGATGGGTTGAGTGGAGTTTACAGATTTACTCGGAATCGGGGATCGAGGGAGGGAGGGAGGTTGTGAAATAATCCTGGCTGGCCCTGGCTGGCTGGCCCTGGGTCGATGGGCGGAAGCAACGGACATGACCCGCTCATCTCCCTCCGATCGCCGAAAATGCATTCTCCTACCTCCTTTCATCTATTCTACTCGTCCCATCCTCCATCTCACTCGCACGACCACATCCACATCCACACACCACCACCACCACCACACACCACCACCAACCACACACAATGTCAGGCCGTCCCACCCAACGATACCTCGCTGTTCCCGGCTCCTCGGCGCCCTCCAACATCGTGACGGCGTTCTGGAACGACCAGGTCATCAACCCGGAATACAGGGCCGGGAATTTAAAGTGAGTTTCCACAGGACTCCTGCTTTGACTACCAGGCGACGGTGAGGTGCCTTGCGCGTGCTGACCCCCCCCTTGTCCCCGCGCGCGCGCGCGTTAGCATCCTCCTCGGTGTAACGACATTCGCAGCAGGCGTATTCGCCGTCCGAAACTTTGGTGGGATCCTCATCCCGGGATTCTAAAATCGATCAGATACGCTAGAGGCCTGCCCTGCCGTGACCCGACAGCGGGCGGCATGAAGACGGGTAGAGTGGGTGGTACGGATATTGGAGGAGTATGGGAACGCATGGAGAGGAGTTGGAAGAGGCATGGCATAAGGTGGTCTGTGCCGGGTGATGGTGACGCCGCCGGTCCAAGGAGACGAAAACGAAGGGAGAGCTGCTCTTGCGTCGCGTGGTGGGAACGCACGACCCAACGCGGGCGGACGGACGGACGGACGGACGAAAGCACAAACCAATGTCAAGACCCAATATTTCGTCTAGAAATCCATTTGTACATGTATCACATCACTTGAACACCACCACCATCACCAAACACGCACCACCACCGCACATACCGCGAACACGCTTCTCTTTACCAGCGGCCAGGCGGTCCCGAGCGAGCGAGCGAGCGGCGCTTGTCTTTCCCGCGTGCGTGCGTGCGTGCGCAGCGTACGTAGGAAAGGGCGACCAATATCCGTCCGAATCAATATGTTTTCCTAGTTGATCCGGAGGGGTGGTGGCGGTGGTGCTTTGGCTCTTGCTTTGCGTCGCGTCCCCGTCCGTCCGATAGCTCTTCATGCATCATGCATCATCACCGGAACTCTGTGCTACTCGCGTCGTCGTCGGCCTAGTCTCTGCCACGCCGCAAAAGCGCGATCCATAGCCCCTCCTCGCTCCTACAGCCAGTCAGTCGCTGATCTCACTCTATCTGCTGCCCTGCCCTGCCCCAGGGCCAGGTGCGCCGTTCAAAGCGTGCGATGGAATGGCGGATGGGAATGCCTTGGCGGGATATTTCGGTTTCCCGGACGCCTGCAAGAAAGCAAGAATCGCGCCCCCCCCCCCAAAAAAACCGCCAGAACATGGTCCTCGACCTCCCGCCGCGCGGCCTCCCGAACGTTCTTGGGATCGCAAAAAGATGGTTCCCTCCTAGGGGTTCTAATCTCACTTTCAGTGGCTCATTCAGCAGACTGCCTCGCCGCTTCCATACACGCACACAGCATCCACATGAAAAGCCTAAGTGGGTGTCCCGGAGCCTTTCCAGGCCTTGCGCCCGCAACACTATGCCATTGCTTACTTGGTGCACAAATACCAGATAAGCCATGTCGTATGTGTTGTCGTACATATTATCCTCCTGTGTTCCATCTCCTCTGCCACCTGCCGCGCCGTCGATTGTGCTGGCGCACCTGTGTCCCGTGCGGGTAGCGTGGGCGGCAGATCCCAAGCTGAGGAGACCGGTCTGATGTATGAATGAGTCTACTTACTTGCCCTCCTCCTGCACTTACACTTCCGGCCATCAGTTGCTGTCGCGCACCTCCCCTCCCTCCCTCCTAAAGAAAACTCGCAAAAAGACTCTCCAGACAAGAGTCGAACTTGCGACCTTCGAGTTGCAATCACGCATGGGAGTGACTAACAGCTCGACGCAACTACCACTGTGCTACTGGAGAGGGATCCTGTTGCCCGATTTGAAAACCATTTGTGATCGTTAGGAATCACCCCGCGGTTCCGCAATTCGAACCCGTCTCGGTTTTGTCTTTTTGCCCCCCTCTCGACCCTGTTGTCGAGATTATCCCCCCCAACGTTCCTTGTCACCCGTCATCACGCTTTGCGATGGGAAGACGGTCCCTCAGGCACAGGTACACGTGAGCGCGTTCGTCACGCCATACGCCGGCCAAAGCAGGATGAACCACTCATTGGTGGTTGTTTCACGGACGACGAGGTGTCTGACCCGGCCCATACTCTGCTTGGGCCCCACCCCATTGCGGTGATGTCGAACCGTTGGTCAGCTGCCCCATCACTCGTGGATACTTGACTATGATTGACCTCGGCCTTTGACGCCGACTCGGGAAGAAGTGACGATATCATTTACGTATCGACTCGACGCGACTATCTCGCTTTCTTACGGTGAATCGCCGGAAAGCCATCATGGGCATAAGCGATGACAAGTCACATCGCCTGAGAAGCTGCCTTGTGCCAATCTATCTACTTGGGGCTAATTTGCACTCGAGCTCTCGTGCGAGCGCCTCCTATCATAGAGGAGAACGCGACCGAGCGTTGATATCCACGATGACCTAGTCCCGGACGCAGCGACGGCCGTCCCGCATGCAAATGTGGCACCAAGAACGGCCTTTAGCCAAGTCGGCGGTGGGATGCCAGCAGGTATACTTTGGCATACTATTGCGCAGGTGATCGTCTGCTCAAGTGACTGGGACCTGCCACCTGACGCTTCGAGAAACTGCATAGTTACCATTGCCCGACAAATCCTCAAGCCGGTTTCATTTACGCATCATCGCTCCACCTGATACACGCCATCGCAACCCCTACTCACCACGCCCCCTCGTCCCCAACTTCATCGTCATCAACCTCCCCCACGCATCCCGCCACCCCGTCTCAAAAACCTCGACCGCAAACGCCTCGTGCGCCTTTTCCCGCGCCGCACGACGGATCGCCTCTTGCTCCGCGACAGGGAGGCCCAAGATCTCATTCAGCCGCTTGGCAAACGATTCGGCGGACGTTGCGTGGAAACCTGTGGTGTGGCCGGAGCGTGTGGGGGTAATTATGTCCAGCAAGGGACCGGCGGAGGCGTGTGCAAGGGGAATCAGACCGGCGGCCTGTGCGGCAAGGGGGCGTTAGTATAGTTGCTGTGAACAAGGCAACAACGACTCACCATAAACTCGACAACGCTAATCCCGAAATGCTCATCCTGCATCGTGTTCAACCCGATCGACGCCTGCCCAAGCCGCCGGACAATCTCGTCGAATGGCGCATTCACGACGAATTCCGTTTGTTCCTGCACACACGCATCAGCGCGACTCGAACACCTGTCGCCGTCGGACCTACCTGCACTCCAAGCTCCACTGCGAGCGCCCTCAACCCGCTTACCCGCTCATCATCCTCACGATTCCTACTACTACCCATCAGCACCAACCTCACCCCACGCTCCCGCCACTCTGGCCACCGATCAAACAACAACGCCAACGCGCGGATCTGTTTCGCTTGGTCCTTTTCCGGCCGGAACTGGGCGAGCGAGATGAGCACGGGTGAGCGTGCGGTGAGCGGAAGCGCGGTGAATTCGTTTGTTGCGCAGGGCGGGTAGACGATGCGTGGTGGGTCGTATACCGGTTGTCCGCGGACGTCGAGGACAGGGGAAGCAGCGCCGTCCGCCGTGACGAGCGTGCGCTTATCAAAGTTGAACAAGCTGCTGAAAAGTGATTTGTGGCCGAGTTGCAAGAGGTCTTGAATGTGCGCTTGCGTCCATGACGAGTTGGTGAGTGTCACATTCGAATACATGAGCGCCGTCGCGTACACATGCGTGAAGAGGCGGTAATACCTGTCCAACACCAACGATCAACACGTGGTCTCCACACCAAATGAAACGCGACCGAAACGTACAAGAGCTTCCCCCGCGTCCTCCAAGCGCTCCCACTCACACCGCGCGCATTCGTACCCTCTACCTTACGCTCCTTGACACGCCGCATCATATCAGTCGAGATCGTCGGGTAGTGGACGTACGAGCCGAGCGGGACCGTGTTGCCCGACAAGACGGAGAGGAGGGGCAGTGTGAATGCATAGCCCATCGTATCTACCTCGCGAGCGCGGATTAGCACGGGTTGATACGGCGGAAGGGAAAGCGCGTACCGATAAAGATGTCTGGCCAGAGTGCCTGTTGTCCGCATACGAGACCCTGCAGCGCGAGCCAGATCGAGCCTGCGCTCTGACCGAGCAGCGTGAACCGTCTCCAGTACGAATCCGAGATCAGATACCTTGAAGGCAGCGGAATAAAATGGATCGATGCGCCATCGAGCGGGATATCGAATCGTTCCTGCCACACCCATCAGGCAACACGAGTCAGCCATTACCCCTCCAGCGTATTACAAGAGAACCAAACGACGCGGCGAACGAACCTTTACTTTCCGCAAGATCTCCTCCTTTCCCGCCGCCGGATAATCACCCGTATACACGACACAGAGCGCCCGGCCGTGCGGGTGTGTCCGTTGGGCCCAGGCGATGGCGGTCCACAAGACGCGTTCGCCGCCTCCGCCTGCGTTACTGCGGACCGTGGGATTTTGATAAGATGCAAGGTAGGAGCAGGCAGGGTGGAGGAGGTGCGACCGCGTAATTAGTTTATGATGTTTGTAGCGGCAAGAACGAATGGTGCGAACGAACGAATGGCGCGGAAGACAGGAAGGAAGCAAGTAGAAGCGCTCACCAATAGGGATGCCAGAACCCAACGATCAGAGGTTTATCTTTCTTCTCCGACGCGGCCGTCTCTTCCTTTCCCGTCTGCGATACGGCACTTTTCCTGTTCCTCAGCGTCGACGTCACCTCTTCCCGCTCTACCTTGTCTCCTTCTCCGGCAGACAAAGCACCCGCCGTCCATCCATAATCCCGCAACAACCTCTCCTTACGCCGCTCATTCCTCTTCCTCAACCGCGTCAACACGAGCCCAAACACTCCTATTCCCACGAGCGTAAGCAGCGGGATGAGGGAGAGCCAGAGGTAGACCGGGTGGATGTCATCGTCGGCTCTGTTTCCGGCCTGCGACGGAGGACGTGGTCGGTACCCGGTTGTGGGGAGGCCTTTGCGTAGTGGAGGGGGACGTGGTCTGTTCATGTTTGGTTGGCGGTTGTTGTTGTTGTTGTTGCGTGGGGACAGATGGACGTCATCTTATAGTCCAGTCCAGTGGTCAAGATGAAACGAAACGAAACGCAGCACCGGGAGCGGAGCGGACCGAGACGCTTTCAATGTTTAAAAAGGAAGTTAAGGCCGTTTTGCGCCGCTTTTATGTCCGCTCGGCATGATGTTTTATACGCGCAGGCCTGCCGACTCGGATCGCAATGCAATTCGCACTGCTTTCCTTTCGGGTGAGCTCTATATCCCGCCGCATCTTGGCTCTTCTCCCTCCGTAAACACAGGTCATGTTCTGTTCACCGCAAGTACTCTCGAGCGTCAGAATGCACCTCGTCGCGTCGCGGAACGGCCATTTTGTCGTATACAGGTAGTGCGCGCATTCGTGAGCGCTTCTTTTCACACTCCCTAGTCATACTGGCTTGCGAGGATTCTTGTCATAGCAGGCGCGGGACTACAGATACACCTCACCTACCAGTCGACGCACCTTGAATACTCCGTTTGAACCGGTTGCTGCTGCTGTCCAAGCTGAAACGGCCTGTGGTTCCAAACAGGCCGAGCACCGTTCCGTTCCTTTCTTACCCCTGTCCCTCTCTGCTCCTTTACTGTGTGATTCACCTCCTCTCATCAAGACACCCTCACTGGATAAAGCAAGGCGAGAATATCCCTAACCCTGTAAGACTGCTCGTTTCGGTAGGGTGACCTATATAAACTGTACTGACATGATCAGGCTTCCAGTGCCTCTATGACTTTTGTCGCATATCCTTTACCTAATTTCCAAGCCTTTCACCCCTACCAACGCTCCACGAGATACGATTCGTGTACCTGCGAATTCAGTACCTCTCTTCGTCATCGACCCTCCTTTAATCTTATCTACAGACGTAAAAGACAATGACCGAGGTAGCAGTTCCCGGAGATCCTGAACACCCCGTGGTGGGCGACGTCCAGCGTCCTGCCGATGAACATCACCGTTCATCGTTCGGGACAGCCTTCAAGCGCTGTTGGGTTCCTTGGTGGGCTGAACAAACATGGCATCGAAGAGACCGGTCCATCTGGAACAGAATTTGTCGGATTTTCTTTGGATTGCTCATTCTCCTGTTTATATTGCTACCCCTATTCCAATACAGAGTCTGGGTGATTTCATCCACCGGAGAAAGCCTGGCTGTCTCATTCTGGAAGACATGGTCAGGGTCTGACACCCAAGGGCAAGTCTCTGCCTGCGAATCGACTTCTTGCCACAGATACCTGATATCCTGCTTCATTCTCCACTCAAAGTCACCTAAATGCAATTTCAAACAGCTTCGACGGAACAAACCCAGATGCTGCTGCAGCTGCCAAGGAAGATGCCGAAGCGCAAGCCTTGCCTGATGGGATGACGTGGATCGCTTTCGCCTTGTGGTTTCAAGTGATTGGTAAGTTGCAGATGCCCTTCAAACTGCAAGCCAGCCGGCGGTGAATCTGACCCATCTCTCGCGGTTTGACATATTCAGGGGGAAGTTTCATCCTCGTGTTGACTTTCCTCCTCGCCCTGTTTATGGGAGTAGAGTCCGATCCGAGTTTGTTCCGCTTTCATGGAAAGGCAAGGTTGAGAACCGTCTGGAAACGAATTCCTTTACACACTATTCTTCAGCTCTTCATCTTTGGCTTTCTGGGCCTCGTGCTTATGGGTCTTGCACTACTCAGTGTCATGTTCCCGCAGCTCTATATGCTTAAGGGGGGTGCATATGCCATCTACCAAAGCTCGTAAGCATTTGTTGTCACGTTTGACATCACCTCTGCCCGACTCACCACTCTTTTTGCTCTACGAAGAATGGCGATG